TTTATTATGGCTGCAGCAGGCGATTGTTCGCATACTGCTTGTAAAGAAATATCCATTCATGCACTTTGTTTCTAACGTTAACGTTTCCTTTCTTGGTGCAAGTGCGATGCATATTCAATAGTGGAAAGAGGTTTCATTAGCTTAAAGTGTATTTTCACAGTGTAGGAAATTAATTCCAGTCCTGTAACCTATATCGTATATATACTTTATTTGGTACCACCATCAGCTAACAGTGTATTTTCACGATGTTGGACATTCCAGTTCTGTAACCTACATTGCATACATTATGTATATACATGTACTTCATTTGGTACCACAATTAGTACTATAAGTTAACCTGATAATAATGTAGCAGAACCTCAGTCTTTAAATCTGGATGGGTATTCGTCACAAACAGAAATAACCCTATACAGATTAATTCCGTATTGGAGCATTTGATATCTTTTTCCTGTTCCCTATATACTTGGAAATGATGTTTCATCTGTTTTTTTTCAATCAAAATTGATGGATGAAAGCTTGCACCACTTTGTAAAAGCGTGGACCTTAAATTAGAAGTGAATGATTTGTGGTATGCATTTAACAATTTGCATCATTAAGTGTATTAAGTGGGGTATGTATTTCAGGAACAAAATGTCAATGGAAAGATTTTTCGTGTAATGTTTAAAGACGTTAACTTGCACATGATTATTACCGCGTGTTTCATTCGACTTATTCCTGTACAGATCCCGCAAATTATAAAGATATATGAGGGCTTTAATACTTTTTCATGAAATTTTTAACTTTAGCACATTTTTGTGAAGAAAAACAAAAACTAAATAACTCAGTTTCAAATGAATAGGATAAAGATCGGTGTTAACATTCAGGTGGGCAATTTGGGGGGGGGGGGTGAAAACAACATGCACACATATTTGTTTAGAAGGAGACTCACATGTGTTTCATGCAAATGGGCAAACAGTTTACGTTTACATTCTCCTTTCATTCATTCCTTCAGTTGGTCGACATAAATAAGTTACATGTCAACATAAATAAGTTACATGTCAACATAAATAAGTTACAAAGAAAAGTTACATGTCGACATATTTATCTCTTATGTCAACATAAGTTGCATAACTTATTGCATGTCAAATATTTATGTTACATGTTTTCAGAACATCCTGCATGTCGACATAATCTATAAAAAAAATAACTTGCATACTTGGGGAAGAAATATGCCATCATATATTTATCAGAAAGATCTTTAGAGTGTTAGTGACCATGCATGGGCATTACGAGGGCCGTTCAAAAGTTACGCGTAATTTTATACCCTGTATATATTATGCAAATTTATATAAATTTCATTACTTTTATATTGAATATTTTCTTTTCTGTTGAATGTGTACATGGACCGAAAAATGGTTAATCTGATGAGCCATTTTAATAAATTTGAAACTGAATCAGTGTATCAAGAAATTGAATCAAGTGTTTGACCTTGAGAAAATCCCGCAAATCATTTTAAGTTGGCAAGGTAGGTACATTCATATAATTTATGGCAAATGTGGCATGTTTCTTCTAGTTAAAAGGGAACCTGCCCAACCACATATGCAGTTTGACAGTTACTTGTAATTAATTCGTTATTTATTTTGTTCAAACCCTTTTGGTTCATTTTATTTCTGACTGCATGTTTATCATTAGAAATTACCACTATCTGGGCATTTGTTTTATCAAATACATTTTATTCATTATTCAACAAATCCCTTACGGCTGTTGTATTGTTATCAAAGAGAAAACAGTTAATACTACTGAATGTAAATAAAGGTAAATATAGGAAATATATAGGTTTTAAAATAATCAAAATTAAAGTTGATCTATTTCATGGTATTTGCATATTTTAATACATTTTTTAATATCAAGCTTAATGTTATTACATAAATACGGAATGATTTTTTTATTTATGGAGTCGATAGGGCCAAAACTAATTTAATTCTTGAACAAGTGTTTGTTTCCGAATGAAAATTATCTGGGATTACTTTGTCATTTTCATTCAAAACCTAACGTATTCAGCTAACAAGGAAGCGATAAGTATACGTGCATCTTTTGATCTTTTCCTCCATGGGTCTTTTAAATCATAAATAACCTTAAGCGGATTATGTAGAGATATTGGGCTATCTCTTCTGAAATGTTATGTAAAATTTCGTTTTTGGCTGGCTTTACCAGTTTTGTGTGAACGTTCGATGTATTGTCAGAGAACATGTGAATGTCCTACAAGATAGACTTAACGAAATGTTACTGCTATATAGTTAGTTGACCAGCATCACGCGATTTCTGACTAATTAAGTGCAGAAAGTACACAACCTTACAAATCACTTCAGACGTGTATGGCACGCCAAATTCACAAAAATGAGCTAATCATAGTTTCACAGTTGATAAACTAGGTTTATCGACTGTAAACTATAGTTTACGGACCGTAAACTACAGTTAACGATGATAATCTATATTTCACATCTGTAAACTATAGTTTACACGATAATCTATGTTTCACAAGCGTAAACTATAATTAACACGGAAAACAATCATTTGCTACTGCAAAATATAGTTTATCTGATAAATATAGTTTCACGATTTGTAAACTATGATTTACAACTCTAAACTATACTTAACAAATGTAAATTATAGTTTAGGGTTTGTAAAGTATACTTTACAGACATACAAAGCGCCAAATTCACAAAAATGCGATAAACATAGTTTTACATTTGAGAAACACAGTTTAGGAACAGAATCTCTTATTTTGTATCGGAGATGCAAAATTTTCTGTGAAACTAGATTTCACGACTCTAAACCATAGTTTACGATCAAAACTACAGCTAACAATAGTTTTTTTTGTAAATTATACATCGGCTAAGCCTAGTTACTGCATTATAAGATTTTGCTATGTAACGACAATTGTTGTTAAATATATATGCATGTATATTTCTTGTTGGCATTAAAAGTAATTGTTCTATTATTTTAAAGCAAATCTAGTTGGAAATAAAAAGAAAAATGACAGGAATATTATTGATTAAAATTTTATTTTTTTTAATTTAAAAGAGAAAAATAGAGAGAAATGCATGTTAACGGTCTGTAACCAAATTTGTCTTCAGCAACGGAAGAAATCGCTGATATCTATCCTTGCCGTCTTTCCAACCTTCTGTGCTGATCAAACAATAATTAATGAACAAGAAACATATTGACGCAAGCGTCAAAAATCGACCGCAAATCGGCCAATTGTTCCTTTTATGAGGCAACAAATTGATATGCGTGATCTGTTATTAATAAAATGCATGTATATCTTATATTAATCTGTAAATATAGACAAAACACAGTGCATATGTAACATTGCAGGCGCGGAATTTATTTTTCAACAACCGAATTTTCTTCATACATGAATAAAAGTGGTCTTTTACGGAACATTTACTTTAGTAAAACACAACAAATATTTGGGACTTCTCTCTCTCTCTCTCAAATTCAAAGGAGGACGTTGAAACCCCTACAACCCCATCTAGATCCGCCACTGCATTTCCTCTCTTTTGGTGGCGGGAAAATGCTTGGCACATTGTAAAACGCGCTTCACCCTCCTCTGCTTGAGCAAAAATCGCGTAATATTCTGTCTTTTAAGAAATCAAAATTTTATCATATTTTTAAAAATTTCCCATAGGAAATGTATATACACGACATTTTAAAACAAATACAATTAATCCTGTTTAAATAGAGAAAGTAATATTGATTATATATAACTCGGTCTTTGCTTTAGATAATGCCCAACACATGTCCTTAATCTCTGCACTGATCCCATTATTCCTTCTCGCGATTGGTGCCGCGAAATTTTGAATTAAAAACTATCGTTAACAAGTGTTTAGATTCATAAACTATATTTAACAGCTCTTAACTATAGTTTACGAGTGTGAATTATAGTTTATGACGATAAACTATGATTGGCAAATGTGAATCATAGTTTAGCTCTCAAAACTATAGTTTACGATCGACAAGTATAGTTTACGTCTGTTAAATATAATTTGTGAGTATAAATGACAGTTAACTATAGTTTACGACCGAAAACTATAGTTAACGAATGTAAAACATATTTTATCTGGTAAATATAGTTTCACGATTTGTAAAACTTTGATTAACAACTCTTAACTATGGTTAACGAATGCAAATTATAGTTTACATATGAGAATCTATATTTATCAGCAAAATCTATTGTTAACGTTTATTTACAGACAGATAAACATAGATTAGCATTCGTAAACTACACTATACAACCGTTAAATATAGTTTTACAAATGCAAACTACAGTTAACGAATCGTTAACTATAGTTTACAGTTCGTAAACTATAGTTTACGATCGATAAACCTAGTTTATCAACTGTTAAACTATGTTTATCTAATTTTTGTGAATTTGGCGTGCCATAGACGTGCTTTTTAAAATATTTCGAAGTGACATACGTGAATATTATTTTTGAACGAACAAGGCTAAATTAAAAACTTGCATTGCAGCAAATTTATTTGTTTTTTGTTCATCTTTCAGAGAAATCAATGTATCTAGATTTTCTTTCCTTCGAACGTCAAACACTGATAGGAGATGACTAAGCAGATGAGAACCTTTCTGCTCTCAAGACGAATCGTACACTGACCACATAAATCATCAAAGCTAATCACCACCATTGAATTTTCTGGACACTCCTCGTCGTAAATTCCGACCATAGCGACCTTGCAAAAAGGCCACCAAATGGTCGTTAAACATTGTCACGTTGCCTTATATTGATATAACCAATATTCTCACACCTTTTTTATGACCCTTAGCACATTTATTTACAAATAAACGCCACACACTATCTGCATATCCATGGTTGTGTTTTCTTGCACACACCAGTGATCGCGAAATACATCTAATCAGGAGGATGCACGATCGATAGAGACTGCATTATACCTTACCTGTGGTGCTCAGAGGGTATGTGAACCGGCTTGTGGCAGAGGGCTCTAATTTGTTTACGGCGGATAGAAGATAGAGAAGGTTCAGCGGTTTCACCACTTAAAAGGACGTTCCCTCACCCAAATATTGCATGCGCAATAAAAGACACACGTGGAAGAACTTGACATTATATTACAAGCGGTCCACAGAAAACAAGTGTTATTATAAATTATGATCACGCAGGTTTGTTTCCTCATTTTGCTGTCGGCGAGTGCTTTTTACCACACCCATGCCGCTGATACAGAGGTCAGTGCTGAGGGGGTGTTTGTCAAAATTCAGGGTCAGTCTGGGGGAATGACCATTGGAAAGGCAAAGAACCCTGATCAAGACAACAACGCAGTGAAAATCAAATTTGACGCCATACAGGAGAAAGATTCCAGCGGGAACATAGTTGGAGCCTCGGGAAATGCTAAGCATAGTTTCAACAATTTTGCTCAACTAGACTTTGTGTTTTCTAGTTTGAGGGACACAGAGTATGAAAATTTAACAGCAAAAGCTATAAACTTTACCGCTTCTATTAGTTCAGTTAATGCTAAGATGAGAGTGGAAACATTTCTTTTTACGGAGTCCGGAAACATTACTGTTGATGGAGAATCCACGATGGTCGAGAAGGGCAGTGTAAAATTTAACATAAAGCTGGAAGACTGGACATTTTGCGATAACTCGGGGAACTGCAAAAAGGGCCAAGCAACCGAAATCGGAGAGTACGTAGACCTGACTATATCTATCAAAGGAAAAAGCACCCCAAGCAGAAAGACGGGGAATAACAAAAGGACAGATGGCGAGGAGTACGCATTGGGAGGGGACGCATCTGTAGCTCTGTCTAAAAAGGTAAAAATTATATCGTAATCAAGGACTATCCTTGTTATATTGTTAGTTGAATAACTTGCTGGTTTTAATTTTATTTCAAAATATTTTTTCATTGTATATTATTGAGAAAAATATACGGAACGAAATTTAATGCAGCATGTGACCGGGAATCTTGTGTAGCGATGAGTTTTCAGATGATGACTCAGACCATTGTGTATTGATGCGATCTGTTCTAAATCTTGTCAAATTGATTTTTATGCAAATTGTACATCCGTTTATAAATTAAACATTAACTAGTCAATTTTCTTTTTTTCTTTCTTTCCAGATTTCGAAAGACGGCGGTAGTCCCGAGAATATGCCGGGAAATTACCCTGCCTTCGAGACCCAGGGTAGCAAACAACTCTTTGTTTTCCGCTTCCCCAAGTTCACAAACAACGTGTTGTATGATCCGATCATCTACTCCGGCGTCGCCGATACCAGCAGTGGAGCAGCTTACATTAGTTTGGGATTTCCTTTGCTTTTTATGGCTTTGTTTGGTGTCTTTCTATCATGCAAATCAGTTTTCTAGATATTTATTTTTTTCTATGCTCTGCAGTTAGTAAATATTGAAACGTTCATGGCACTTAGATATTCTATAAAAAACAAGGCTATTAAATCAAACATTTATATATTATTACTGTCTCTTTAATTCTCAGAGGTATGTGTAATAAATATATATGGATGAAAAAGCACTGTTATTAATTTCCTTAATCAGACAAAAAATACTTAATATAGAAACGAGAAATTAATTCTTGTATTGAACTAGTGTCTTCCCACAAATTTTTAGCAAATATATAGAAAGACTATTTAAAAAAAATAAATAAAAAGAAAGACACTAGTTTTAATAGGTAATTGAACATCTGTTTGTAGATTTTTCTGTAGCTATTTTTATGTCATAGTTTGTGTATGCAGAATTCTAATACATCGAAGATAACAGTCATCACATCGTAAATCATGATACAAAGGTAAATACATGTAATGTTATGTATAAATGCGTTGTTGAATTTGCTTCAGTTTTATTGGCGTATGATTGTAATTATTTAAAATACTCTTCAAGATCGTAATAAAATCATTTTCTACATGTATTTTTTTTCCTTTCTCGTAAAATATGATCATATATAAATAAACCATTTGACGAATGATTGAACAAAGCCCATGATCGAATTTTCAATCTACACAGGAACTATTGTGATGAGCGCAGGCATTATAGGGTCTCGGTAGTTACTGTGCATTGTCGGCTCATTAAGATAATTATCACTTGCACTAGGTTTATTCCTCAATACTGTCGCAATGCGTGTCCTAAGCATTTTCCGATTACATTTTCTCGCTGATTTTAGCTCTCGATGTATAATGCACGTCTGGCAATCTATATGTAATATAAATTACTTTTGACTGAATATTGATATTCAATTCTTATGAAAACATTTCAACGAAATTTATAGAAATAAATAAGAAGAGTGAAAGAATTCACGTGCCCTAGAGTGAAATCCGAGAGAGAAATAAACTTTTATAATGTGAAGTGGAAATGTTTTTTGAATACAACGTACCTTTCATTCATAACATGGCTTCTGTCGGTGATGAGGAAAAGAGGCAATTTATTGGTTATAAACATAATTTCAACCATAGGAGTATTATTACTGTAACAGGGTTTCTGCATTTGATGGTATTATACAAATAGATTGTTATAGATAGTTTTGAATTTCTTAAATTGCAAAACTTTAATGTAACACAAATTCAAACTCCTGTTAGGGTTCGTTTACTGTAGTTTATTTTACAGATAAATAATATATAATAACAATATTGAGAATATCATAAAATCATTAATGCACAATCCAATGTTATACACAATACTGCACAAAGGGAGATAACCTCTTGCATTCATTAAACATACTCCAATACTCCCTATGAATTACACTTTTTGCATACAATTAAAAATATTTTACAACAAAATGTATATTACTATTTAAGCTTATAATATCTTCATAGATATTATATACCTTTTGTAAATAAATAATAGATCATAAAAACAATACCATAGATTCCGAGGGAATATGCAAGCTCCCGCATATTAAATGCATCTACATCATGACTGGGAGTCCAGATGATAACAAAAAATTATCATAGACTTTATATAATTCTCTTATCATAAAACATATATGTACATATTTTCTGGACCATGAAATACACTAGCTTTAATGCTAATAGCTTATAAAAATCTGACTTCCAAAATATCTTTTTTACTGTGCAAAAGTACTATGGAAATTAATATTGCCAAAATTACAGGTTTCACAATTAATTGAAATATGTTATAGATACGTTAAAATTAGTAAATAAATATTACCTTACCAAAAGTTTAAGATATTGTCACAGTCAGTTGGTCAAATTGTCAGATACAAAATCTACATGACCTGTCTGCTAAATATAGAGTTGCAATTGGAACTTTTTACTTTGTATGTAGGTGTGTAACTTGCTCGTCAATATTTGTTTTTCTTACACTGCGTGATATTTTGAACTTATTCCAACAAGTGACTCGAAAATGTCTTTTGAAAAGTTTTTATGTTTGTAACATTCTGTCTATACACATAACTTTTTGCTTTAATTTTGTTAATATCTGGTGATATAGAAACAAATCCAGGCCCTATTTATGACAGTGTCCTTGATATTTTGCACCTTAATATTCGAAGTCTCAGGAACAAATTAAAATTGACCCACTTGAAGGTGCTTAGAAACAGATTTGAAGTTAATATTTACTCAAATTTTCTGTATAATTTCATGACTTATATGTTGCTATAGCATTTCAAACGAAAATTTGACAAAAATCTTATTTTATCTGAAAGTTATTGAAACTTCGAATTTCTGGACGCATCCTTGCACTTTCACAAACTTTAACTTTATCCTTATTACTTTAGAAAAGTAGCAATTTTGTTGTTTATTAATGAAAATATTAAAACTATAATGCAGAAATTTCAGAGTAGAAATGTAGAAAGCAAAATCCTCTCACCAGTATAGTCAGTCCGTGCTCAGTGGTGTGTGCAGAGTTTAACAATTGAACACACCCGGTGAAACGTAAACATTAACAACAACAGAGCTCGTACCCTGTTTACAAAAACAGTTTACGTATCACGGGTGTATTCAATTTGTTAAACTCTGTATACAACTACACAACACTGAGCACGGGCTGACAATACTTATGTGAGTGGGTTTTGCTTTCGCACATTTTACTCTGAATTTTCTGGATTATACATGTAATATTATTCATTAATACACAACAAAATTGCTACTTTTCTTAAGTATTAAGGATAAAGTTAAAAATTGTGAAAGTGCAAGGATGTGTTAATCAAACGCCTCCCGAAATTCATAGTTTCAATAATTTCCAGATTAAATAAGTTTTTAATTTTATTTTCGTTTGAAATGCTATAGCAACATATAAGTTGTGATATTATACAGAAAATTTGAGAAAATATAAACTCTGTGTCTATGCACCTTTAAAGCCACAGTAAATGATTTTGATATTGTGTGCTTTACTGAAACGCATCTCGAAGACAACATTTTGAATAGATGAATTTCTTTACGTTTTTGAGCATTCCGTTTTACGGAAATGTCCGATCTATTCATAGTAATTATTGCATGCACGAGTGATTTGGCGCTTAGTATAAATAGTGTTCCAGGCGTGTGTTTGGTCATTGCGAAGTTCGTTACAAGACCATTAGGACATACATTATCCCTTCCCATCCCCGCCCTAAGAACTATGCAACGCATTGTATGTATATTTACAATTAATTATTATATACATGTACATGTATATGTTTTTGTCGATGTGGGTGTACATCATTAAAAAATAATGATAATAATTATATAAATGCGATCTTGTAACGAACGCACCTAACCTAACTTATTTGTTGTTGTCTTTCAAATTAGTCAAGAAAAGATTTATTTTCGGAGGAGTTTACGAGGGAGAAAATAATGATATTTATTTAGACGGTTTTAATTGTATTTTTAGCGAAGATCGAAACTCTTTCGGAGGCGGAGTCGTTATTTACACAAGTAATAATATTCGAGCTCACAGACGAATGGATCTTGAACCTGTCAATATTGAAGCTATCTTGTTAGAAATTGATAATTCTACCTCTCAACTTTTTTCTTATGTTGTGTCCACCGTCCTCCGCACGCAGATTCCACTTTTTGGAGAAACTTTTCGTGGTCTTTAGACAAAATAGGTGGGCTTTCAGACAAAATCATAAATGTTGGCGATATAAATGTTGATCTTCTAAGCACTCCTCACACACATATCATATATGATATAATATCCAATTGTAATCTTATCAACAGAATCAGCAAGCCAACGAGAATCACGAATTCCTCTCGAACACTTATTGACCCAATATTTACAAAACAAAGCGTAGACGTAACTGATAGAGCAACTTATGTGTGTCTTACCTTGAACTACAAAATTAATCACGCGTGCAAGCGCAATGTATGGCTGTATAAAGAAGCGGATTTTGAGAAACTTAATTCCTTAATTAACGACTGCGATTGGGACAATTTAATAAATAATTTAATAAACAAGATGTCAACACTGCTAGTGAAAACTTTACTACTCATTTCTTATCGTCTGTACGAAAATGTGTTCCAGAAAAGTAGGTCACTATTCGTCCTAAAGACAAACCGTGGTTTGACTCGGTTCTTCGAAAACATATAATAATATGCAACAGACTACATAAAATAGCAAGAAAACGAAAAATGAGGCTGATAGGTCTAAATATCGAAAACTCAGAAATCAAGTTAACAACATGAAAAAATAAGCGTTATCGAATTATTATGACAATATTGACCTTCAGTTGTCTGATGCGAGTGTTAACAATACTAAATTATACTGGAAGATTCTAAGAGATGCTTTTCATGTAAAACCAAACAAAGATATCCCGACTATACAATACATTTCTGATAGCGGAGGTGAAAATATAGCTTTCTCAGATGAAGATAACATTGATATGTTAAATAAGTATTTTTCTTCTATATCTAATTTGGATGACTCACAAAACCAATTAACAGAACTGTATTACTTATGCAATGATACACTGAGTGATATATTAATTACTGAGCAAGAAATTATTAATATAATATCAATACTTCCTGTTAATAAAGCAATAGGTCCTGATGCAATAAGCCACAAAATGTTAAAATCTACTATGTATTCTGTTTCTAAACCGCTATGTTTGTTGTTTAATAAGTCTCTGGCAGAAAATGTATTCCCAGATAAATGGAAACTCGCTCATGTATTACCATTGCTTAAGAAAGATAATCCTTCTGTAGCAACTAATTATAGACCGGTTACATTGTTGAGTATTGTTGTTAGCAAAATTATGGAAAGAATAATATTTAAACATATGTACAATTACTTTCATCAGAATAACTTATTTTACAAATTTCAAGCAGGTTTTTTGCCAGGTCACTCAACTGTTTACCAATTACTTGAAACTTATCACAGCATTGTTAAGAATATCGATGAAGAAAAATTTTGTTGCATGGTATTTTGCGATCTGTCCAAAGCATTCGACAGAGTGTGGCATAAAGGTTAACTTTTAAATTAAAGACATACGGTTTATGTGGTAACATTCTTACCTGGCTTTAGAGTTATTTATGTAACAGAAGGCAAAAAGTTATGTATAAAGATCTAATTATTATCTTCCTAAACTACAATTTCAATGATGTAAATTAGAATAATAACCTCTCATAAACATCTAGGACTACTATTGAGCCAAAATCTCAATTGGTCTAAACAAATAGACAATATAGTTAAACAGCTTACCAAAGATTAGGCCTCCTAAAAAAGCTAAAATACAACATTGGTAGAAACACACTATCTAAAATGTACATAACTTTTATTAGACCACTACTTGAATATTGTTCTATAGTTTGGGGTGGATGTTCTTTACAAGATGTTGAAAAATTAGAAAAGGTGCAGCTTTATGCTGCGAGAATAATTACAGGGTTACCCATTATAGCTTCAAGAGATGCATTATATTTAGAAACAGGATGGGAACCTCTCACAGAGAGGCGTAAAGTAGGAAAACTAAATGT